AGATTCTGTGGCGACACAGCCCAAAGTCACAAAAACGCTGAATTGACCACAGTGGCATTTAGCCTGGAGAGCCAAAACAGAAGCTGGCTCCTGGCATTGAGACATTGTGTTGAAAGGTAAATGGATTTTTGTTTGCTATTAATTAGGCCGCACTGTGTTTGAGTTATCAGTGTAAGAATCTAGCACAAAACTAGACGCCTCTGCTATATAAAGTATCAGGCTCAGAAACCAAACCGAAGCCTGTGCAAACCTGGGAGAAATCGTTATTCCCAGCTGAGACACTGGCCAGGCATTTGGGAGGATGTCCCTGCTGCACCTGCACTGTGAATTAGAGGACACGGGTCTTAAGGACTGTTGACTCTGTTCCATTCACCAGCAGAAAAAGTCATACCTTCGTGTCTCAGATGATCAGATCCTCTCTTGGCCAAGCAGTCTGCAAAACTGCATTGAGAAAAAGGCGCTGGAGAAAAAACAGCTTGCTATTAGAAGAGTGGGGGGGACTCACCTTCTCGCCCTTGGTACCCTTCAATCCACGAACGCCGTCTGCCCCCTGAGGAAAACACAGAGACATGTCACAAGACCACACCTGCACAAGGTGGATTTAACTGAGCCAGGTGGCTAGAATGGGATGAATCATGAAGAGCAGGAAATTGTGCCTTTCCACTGGCAGCAAGTTTCCCTTGTGATTTTCCTACATGCAGGGGTCATTTGAATTTAATTATCGAATCATTTGTGGTCTCTAGCTCACTTGCTACCCAACATTTAAGGCGACTTGACTGGACAGAAGAGACACGTGATGTCTGTCCACCCCCCCACAATTAGATGAACGTAACCACTGGAATCAGTTTTCCCGAGGGGATTCTTGCAACTGGAAGTTTGCTTCTGCAAATGTTTTCCAAAAAAAAATCTTTAAAAATGGGCAACTTCCACAAATATCCTTGAAAGCCAACTGCGCTCTCTGAACAGCAGGTTCCCTGTGCCTGAAGAAGGGTGACTGCACCTGAAAGTTTGCAAAGAGCCTTTTTCCAACAACTCAGTTGGTCAAATAAAAGATATCACATCTGTCCAAAGAACTGTGGCTGCCTATGTCCTTTGTCCAACACAACTACAACCAAAAAACCCAGCAGCTGTGCTCCCAGGCAGTAGGACCTAGAAAAAAAAGTGCTTGTTGAACATACAGTCGCAGCTTCCTTTCTTACGTTGTAACCACCAGCTAACGGTGCAGAACAAGCAAAAGCTGCAGATCCCTGGCTTCTCTCATCATGACCCTCCCCTCCATTGTGCATCAGTGATGGGAGCAAATGTCCCAGACTGCGGCTTTGTGTAGATGCCCATGCTAGCTCAGGTACCAGCAGCGGTCTAGCTATGGCTGCCTACAGCTCCTGGCAGGCTCATCAGCCCATCTGGCGCTCTCTGATGCTATGGCTTGACTCCTTGGGGTAGCTAGGGCACACACACCCATAGGCAGGATCCAGATGTGCAGGCATGTGTGGTCTGTGTAGCCTCTTTGCAGGGCCATGAACTGCACAAGTCGCACATTAATCAGCATGCTAATTTGCAGTGCCAGGGCAAAATTTGCTACTGGGATTTCCCGGTAGTTAAAAAAATACCTGGGGAAAAAGCAGCCTAAGTCACGCCACCATACCACCTCGTGCCCTAGCCAGCCCCTCCCCACCCCGCAGCACGTGGAGCGGTGGGGCATGCACATGGGTAGGGGACGGAGTAGTGTTGTGCTGCTACTATTTGTGCTGCTGCAAAGGCACGCTACTGCTTGCGTGGACGCGGCCATAGTATAACTGGTACTACCTATGACAAACCTCTCATTTGCATCAATAGGGCCAGAATTTCACCCTGGGGAATTCCTGTTCACCACAGGACTTCTGAACAAACTGCAGTGACTCTTTTTCCAGGGCCAGCTCCATAGCTGGTCTGAACGGCTCAAACTCCATATACACTGCTGCACGCACTGGCTGAGCAGCTGAGTCTGCCGGACTTCCATCACGATTGCAGCTGCCCTGTTTTGTTTAAATCTGAATAGGTTTGGAAACCGTTTTGAAACTGCTCGGTTACCTCTGCGCATACAGCAAAGGGGAAGGCGGCGCCTTTTTAATGGAGGGTGCTTATTATCCGAGTGTATTGCCAGTCCCTGCTGCTCCTGGTCCTGGAAGAAGTAATGACCAAAGGCTGGTTCTGGGTTGAGACTCAGTTTGGGAAGTGCCCTCTTGTGGTAAAAATTGCATGATGTTTCTAGTCTGATGGAATAATAAAGTCCGCACCGCTCAGGAGGCTTTGAGACCAAGATAAATCTTTAGTGCAAGTAGGATGCGAAGCAGCATAACCTGTAACCTATGATTGCCTCTGTCTGAAATGACATTGAACGGTGACACTCGTAAGCACTCTGCTACTTAATCAGCTTCCAGTGGTGGAGAGTCTTAGAGCCAAATGGACAGGGTAAAGTGGATGCAATTTTCCAAGAGATATTATTCATCTTGGGATTTAAGAGACGCCGTCAAACATTATCTAGCACTAACCTCCTCCCCTGGAGCTGCCTTGTTGCCTTGTTTGCTATTATGTTATACTGACTACCCAAGCTATTAAGTCTAATAGAAAAGCTGCTGACACTAAGATCCATGACAGATTCAGAAAGGAAAAAATAAAAGGAGAAAGACAGGACAGGGGTGGAAAAAAGGCAGCTAATATAAAAGCTAAAGATGGGATGGGAAACCACGCTGCAAAGGAATAAGAGCCTGATATTAATGCAGCGCCACATTAATTAATGGCGGTAACACGGGTTAACCACCTCGTTTTCTGAGTTGGGGAATATAAACAGAGCTGGGGAGGTGGGAGAGCAGTATTAGATGAGATGAATGATAGTCTGGACAGCGGACGGGGCTTCTCTGTAGGACGAATGCCTTGAAAAATTAAAGCCTAAGAAATTGCCAAGTGGATGAGAGCGCTGATCCATATAGCCCAATATCCTGCCTCTGACAGTGACTGCTTTGGAGGTAGGGGAAAGAAATAATCCTGTAGGGTACAAAGTAACCCTGGGGAAAACATCTTCTTAACCTCCATCACACAGATTATGCCCTGAAGCAGGATCTCTACCCCTGCCATATTTGGGGTTTTATTTATTTATGGCTATTTAAATCGGCTGATGGGAGGAAATCGAACAAAAAAACAGAGAGAGAAAGTGGAGGAAAAGAGAAGTCCAATATGAAAGTACGTCACAAGCAAGACCCAGAGAGAGTCAAGTACATCCTTTACCCTGTCTCTGGTGCCCAGATGTCGGAGGAAAGTGCGTGACCTTGGACACAACACGTGGCGAGAATTTTGTGTGCGCATTTTCTAGCTTGTATTGAAATCTCATGGCCTAGTTCTGTCTGTGCATGAATGTACCTAGCGCCAGTTGTTCTCACAGGCTCTCAAAGGCCAAGATCTTGCCCTGAATGCACTTTAAAAAATGAATAAACGAGGCACTTAAAAATACTCCTGTGTTGCATCTGCTCGTGACATGCTGCACAACGTCCCAGAGGTGTCAGCAGGGTCGTGTACAGGTCCTGCCTGCATCAATTCCAGTTCTAGTCACTGCACAGAGCTCACATTTTCCTGTCCACACAGCCCTTAGTTACTTAGAGCTGCTAGAGTCAAGTTTCTTATATGGAGGTGGCCTACGGGCATAGAAAGACATGTCCCTGGACAAGAAAGTGGCCTGGAAGTGTGGCCAGACGCAGCTGCAGTTGTGGCAGTGATTTAACATTTGGTCCACCATCCTTACTGAGTTGCAGCGGGTGGATCATGCCATGTGTATCTCGAGGCAAGGCTCTTTGAGCAGATGTGATATCTTTTATTAGATCAACTGAGCAATTGGGGGAAAAGTCCTCAGTAAGCTTTCGGGTGCAATCGCCCTTCTTCAGGTATAGGGAGTCTCCGCTGCTCTGAGCCTCCAAGGAACGAGTCCGATGCCTGAAGAAGGACGATTGCACCCGAAAGCCAACTACTCAGTTGGTTTAATAAAAGATATCACATCTGCTCAAAGAACCTCGCCTGCCGATGTCCTTAGATCAACTCGGCCACAACCAAAATCTCAGCAATGTGCACCTCGAGACACTGGAGAGGCAGCCAATACAAATGGATGGTGAGATTTAAATCTCAGCCAGCTGGGGCTGTTCCTAGCAGCCAGTAGCTTTGGTTTCCTCTGCGCCTTCAAGATGTTGCCAAGCAAATGCCACCCTGAGGTGCACTGGGAAATGAGAAGCTGCACATGAGGGACCAAATGAAAGGCACCGTCCCATCAGCTCCCAGCTACATGGCTCAGGGAGGTGGCAAAGGGGATGCTGCAGGGCTCCTTCCCACTGCTTTTCCAATAGTGCTTGCTGCCGATAGCCGGAGAAGGTACCAAAGGCAAGGCCACAAAGCCTGAAGAACTAGGAAGGAGTTTCACTGAAGAGCTCCCTGCCTCCTTACTGAAAGCTTTTCTGCTTGGGTTGGGTCGAGGGCTAGAAGGACGTGCCCCTGATCTCCCCCTTTGAGCAGCCGGCCCGAATTTCTCGGGGACTAGATGCAGCTGCGCTGCATCACTTAACTCTTCCAATAACAAAAGAAGGCTGTTTAATAAAACAGTTTTCAATTTACCCAAGACCTTTTACAGGCCTTTCCCTCCACCCCCATTTCGACGGCCAAGCAGACAAAATTGTGCAGAATTCACAAAAGCAGGACCAAATGCTGCCGAGATGGGCAAGAGCTAACATTGATTTATAACTGCAATTCGACAGACAGAGAGAAAGGCTTTTCTTTGCTCCAAGGACCAGAGCCTTATTCAATTAACTCAACACTGCTTGTAGGAAGCAAGACATTTTGGATAAACACGATGGATTTTGCGGATGACACTTTCTCTATATCACTGTAATGTGGAATAGTTCCACTTGCAGTAAACATAATAGCAAGCCATTCCCTAATGGATCGCTAAGTCTCAATCTACAGAGCTGAAAGAAATGAGATGAAAACATGCTTGAGCAAAGTAAATCGAGTTTAATTTTTGGAGATGGAAAAGCAAGTGACTTCTTGCTACGGGGGAGGGGAAAAAAGGAGATGGGCTTTTCACTGGGCTTTAAGTGCCCCCTTTGCCCTTTATCCTGTACCTATAACCACCAAACGGGTCCCTGCCGGTTCAAGGGAAGCATGCGGGAAGCAGTCTGTAATGGCGATAGAGTTAATACAGCTTGAAGGAGCATTTTAACTGTAACAGGATGGGGAATAATAACCATTGCTTTCTTATTAATGTGTATGTATTGCAGATATCAGAAGTAGGTGGAAGAACTACAATTCAATTTACTGAAAGAATAGGGGATATGAGTTTTAGACTGTGGAGAGAACTGAGTTTCATATAACAAGATCTCAGATTACTCCTAGAGGAGGAGAAGTACTACGTTTTGTTTTAATAACGGACTAGTTTGTTTTGTTAACAGTCAGGGCTTGTTAAAATCCTCTTGTGGAGGCCATGATTTATTTGGGTTTTAAATTGAAACTTATTGTGATGGACCTGTGCCACATTCGCCAGGAATAATAATCTAGCTCAAGTATTCAAGGAAGACAGAAAGTGCTTCTACAGGACTACATCCGAACGTCCAGGCAGGGGAAGTGAGCAAATAATAGAAATAGTGAGCAGATAATAGACCATTTGGATGATTGGTGGAGCATCCAAATCACCCCTGATTTCTCCAGAAGGATTTAAAAAGTGATCCTAGGCTCATGGATAAAATTTCTTCCATACGATCAACATTATATTTACTGCTAGTGTTGCCTTTAGACTTGCCCAAGTCTCGGGATTTCTCCCGACTGCTGGAGCACCACCCAGTCTACATCACTACCCTGTAAAGCCCATTTGGATAAAGAACCAGTGTCCCTAAAGATTTGTTAAAAGCAGGGAGGTGAAATTATTTTAGGATTGCTGTTTAGGTTGGTATAATCCAAGATGGCCTCAGATATCGCCAACCCAAGCTGCAAAATCTAGCTTACGGGGAAAAAAAAAGGGGTTAGAAAGAGGGGTTGGGGTGTGCATTTCTGCCTGTCCATCTACTTACCTTGACTCCACGTGGTCCCGGATATCCAATTGGGCCCTGAGGACCTGGTGGACCCTACAATTTAAAAGCAACAACAAAATAATGTCAAAATAGAGCAGTGTTGGACCAGCTGGGTAGAAAATATGTGTATATACCCTGGCCATCTGTCTGCTCTGAACTACACAGGAAAGCTAGTGGCTGCCTAAGTAGCATAATGTATAGATGGTCAGCTGCAGCAAGGAGTGAAAGCCTAATTTAAAGAGAGTCGATTTCTCTCCAGTTTGGCTACAGCATAGAGATGTGCACATAGGAGAGAGAGAGAGGAGAATATCAGCCCTAAACAGATAATTGCTATAATGACCAATTATAAAGGTTTTATACAAAGATCCACCGGTGACTCCTTTCTGCAAAAATAACTTCACCCCTTAGTTCTGGGCAGGGGTGGTTGACAAGTTCTTGTATTTCAAAGTTAGGATGCAATTAAAAACATAAGAAGCATTCAAATGTTACTTATTTCCTTCTCCCCAAGAGTTCTTCTGGCCCAAGTTCTTCAAAATTCAAAATGTAGGACATCCCCATTTGAAAAATTTGGAATGGGAAAAGTGTAGAACGGGTTTGGAAAAGCCACTATAACTGAAGCAGAAATTACTGGCTTCTGCAGCAATCCCTGGGGTCACTGGCCTTTGCTGTGTAAGAGGAAAGACTGGAGCATCTTCAAGATCCCTTGTGGCTTTTATGACTCATTGGTCAGCACTGAGTCCAATGGATGCATTGCTCTTATTACCAGGTCTGGATGGGCAATGATATTACTCCTACAGGGCTACATTAAGGCTCTGCAAATAAATTACATTCTCAGTTGAATCTGACTGGGTTGCATGTCATTCAGCTAGCTAAAGAAATATCCCCTCCCCTCACATTTCTTTAAGAGAGAGTCCTGGACAATTTTTCCACTCTGACAGCCAGACTGAGCTGAAGCATCGGTGCTTCTTGTGGTCTGTTGGAGTCTCAGACCTCATGCTAGTGTTGACTGAAACAAATCTAGCAGCACAAACACTGCTCTGAGATCATTATTGCTTAAGTAATAACTCATGGAGAAAGTTACGGCCTGGATCTGGACTTCTACCCCGACACCTGCTGACTCCTCAATGTTTGCTAAATGTCTCCCAGCACAGTGAGTGACTGCACAGCTGCTTATTGGGTTTTAATATTCTGCAGACAGGAATGTGCGAGTTCCTAGCCTTGCGTGATGCCAGCTGGAGAAATGGCCCCGATCAAGGTCGCAAGCAGCATTTCCCTGCACTATACAGCATCTATGCAAAGCTAGGGTGAACTTCAGTCAAACCGGACGGTGCTCTAATAAAAGACTTGTGACAAAAGTAATGTTTTTCAACTGAATGCAACACAGTGGGAATGCAAATGGTAAATCTCCCAGACAAACTGATGACCGTATAATTCAAGGACTCTAGCCCCAAGCAATATTCTCTAAAGTACTGTTAAAGGGGGAATTTGATGGGGGAGAGGGGTGGATGATGACCCCCCCCCAACCATCAATACATACACAAAAAAGTCATTTTCTTTATTCCCTCTGCATCACTGGTAACATTTATTTGTGCCTGATTAAGAGTCTTCCCCTTCACGGTTTTTGTTTGCATATTTGTTCAGCTTTTCAGTAAAGCTTGCCAAAAAAACTAGGCTGGGTGACAATGTTAGATACAGGTTTGGTTCAATACCTTCCTAGACAAGCTGCAACTGCCCCACGGCTCTGCCCTTGATTGAAAATACAAGCACAGAAAGAACCGACATGTCTCCTCAAATTCACGGACAAACTTGACACCCCTCAAGTCGGGAAGTGCCTCAATGCATCTAGATTGTGAATGGAGCTGAAAATCTCCTAGGACCCTTTGCTCCTGTGGCATTTCCAGATACACCAATACTGGCACGGACACTCAGACTGTGAGACCAGTGTTAGCTTTTGGGCAAATATTTCAGCTCCCTGGTTTGCAGACAAAGCCTGAAAGTGGTAAAAGCAGCAGCAATAGTTAAAGAAATACATGGACAGGTGAGCCAGACTTGTTGCAGATTCAGTGGGTCCTTAACCTTGCTGCATATCAGTTGGCCCATCCATTCCTGCTGCACACTTCCAGTCCTTTGACTTTCTCTCAATATGTTTAATCTCTACATTTCAAACTTTTAAACGTAGACACCAGGTCTACGTTTAAAACTTTTGCCAGCAGATCTATGCCAACAAAAACCCTACTGTAGATGCAGGTATTCAGGCAAGACCATCTTCATAACCTTACTTCATTCGGGGAACTGGTATAAGCTTGACTGATGGGTTTTTTTCCGCGTAAACTACATTTTATTTAGCTGTAGCCATGTTGGCAAACCTTTCCTAGTATAGACAAGTCCACCCTTTTCTTCAGAACCAGCAAGCCCTTTAAGGCCTCCCTGGTAGCGAATGCATACACTAACTCCGAACCTGAACGATGGCAATCAAGGTCTGGCTGGACACTTACCTGACTCCCTTTCTCACCAGGAGGACCTTCTTTGCCAGGATGACCCTATTAATAAAACACACAGACAAAAGTGGGGGAAAAGTTTAGTGTTTGGTCAGTGCTTTGAGAACTGACAGTCAGGTACGGTTTATTTCTGAAGATGCACAGTGGGGAGACCTGGCGTGCAAACCGTCCCACCCATATAAATGAGCAGTTGGACACTTAGGGTTGTTATACTACTTTCTCCTGGGGAGTTCAACCCATTTTGCCCATCATAAGCACCTTGCAACTTCTCTGTGAGCTCAGCAGAAGTCAATGTGTGTGTAGCGGCAGATGAAAAAGCCAAGGGAAGTTGAGTGTTTTTCCCCAAGGGGAGGAAGCCAGCTCACAGCAGAGCTAGGAGAGAGCCCACGGGTTCTGGATACCACTCCCCTGGTCTACGCACTATGCCCATCATGAAAGTGATGAGAAAAACGTTCAGCTGTACAGTGCTGGGCTTGCAAGATCAACCCGGCAGGCTGGCAAACTTGTGAAGGTCACGACATCTCCAGGTTGGTCACATTCCTGCATTAATTGGCTAACGATCAAAGTCACTTCCAATACCTCCCGATGAATGCTCAGCCTGCATCCCCACCACATGCTCGCTGTTGGGATGCAGACCAGCTTTCTTCTTTGGATTTGGTGCTGAATAACCTGCCCCTATAGCTTCCAGCATTTTCTTATTCTGTGTCTCTAGAAAACTTTCTGTTGAGACTTCAATCGGTAGAAAACAAAAAGTGCCATTCACTAGTCTGAAAAAAGCATTGCAAATAAAGCATAGTGCACTAGTGAAGAATGAAGAACCGCCATTGGTCGTACCCTTTGGACTTGATGTCCTTGCTAAAGGAAGAACCAGCAGGCCATTAAGACAAAATGCACCTTTTGGGCTTCCTATGCCTAAAGAAAACCATTAGTCCCTTAGCTGTGGGACACTGCACACAAAGGTGCTTTTGATTTGAAAGGAACATGAGACCCTTCCAGAGATATTCAAAGCAGCAAGTATCTCTCCAGTCAGTCGGTTTTTCACCTGCGAGCTCATATGTGAACAAGCAAATGATTTTCTAACAACCACACGAGAAACAAGACAAGACTGTAGACTATTTCCCAAGACCAGCCTACATTAAAGTGAATGCCAGAAGAGCAGGATCCCATCCATAAGATCTTGTTTAAAACAAAAATGGGGAAAAAAACCAAACAAACCCCAAACAAAACCAGATTTCTTTATACCTGCACACATTTCTGCAGAGGTAAATGACAGCTGAATAGTCTACAAGTAACTAGGGCTGTGCTAACAAGCAGCCACACATGGCTGGGGGCATGTGCCTGGCTTGCACGTATTTGCTGAAATATCTGCTGAGGGATGTCAAATGGCTGTCTTATTCAAAAGGGGTCATGCACTGCTTAGATCATCTACAACCATATCAAAAAGAAAATACAGCCTTAATACTGTCACTAAGGTCAAAAGCTGATAAGCATCTTTGTCGGGTTTCCTACTGAAAAGCCATCTGACGCTGGGGGTTTTGAAAAGAAATTTAGCAAATGCCACCTATCGACCAAGCCCCGTTTTTAAGAGGACTCGGGCACCTCTTCTTCCCAGGAGAGAGTTGACTCACCTGCTTACATACATCTCCCATACCGTCTTCAATCTACACGGATCCCACTGAGATCAAAAGGCCCACGTGACGGTGCAGCATGAATGCATGCATGCCCGTGCCCGCACTGGAGCTGATATACAACCTTTTGCTGACATAAAACTAGAGCCGACACTTTTTACAACTGAGGAGCTCTGTGGAGACTGCTCCAAGGATTTCACGTGGAGAGCGACTGCCTTAAAGATATTCTGGGCTTTGCTTTCACCGTTCTGTTGACTCAGCTAACAATTTTATGAACGAGCTAAATGCCCTTGGTGGAAAGGATAATCCCTTGGTAGAAAATGTAATTTTTCAGCATGTTCTGCATTTACATTAGAGAACATAACTGTTTTACATTTGTCGCTTTTACAAGCAGATGTCTCTTATGTGTTTTAAAATGAGATCTACTTTAAAGGCTGGAGATTTCCACACTTTAAATGTTTGGTTTCTAAAACAGGGTAATTATGAGGTTCCAAGATGGCAAGTTATCATGATATCTTAGCCTGCCCTTATCATTACTAGTATCAGACCAGTGCCTACAGTTCCTGACTGACAGCGGGGACCCACTGTGCTAGGTGCTGTACATACACATAATATGACCCAGTCCTTGTCCCAAAGAGCTAAACTGGAAGGCAGAAAAACACTGGAAGATGAAACGAGAGGCACACAGAGGTGAAGAAATGCCCCCTTACCTACACAGCACTTCAAGGCAAGCCTGCCAGGGGTTTTTAAACTTCTAGCTTAGTGACCTGCCCATGCTGCAAACTATAAGGCCTGATACAAAGTCCAGTGAATCAAGAGAAAGGGTGTTATTATCTTAAGTAGTGTTGAATTAGGCCCTTACGTTAGGCAGTAGGAGACCCTAAACTCACTGCCATCTGCCAACAGGTTTCACTTTGTGGGGTACGAGCCAAATAGGGCTTGCAGAGAGAAATAAAAGATGATAGCACTTCATGGCATGGAAAAAGATACAAAGAGCTGAGCAGCCCGTGTGCCGTGAGCTTCATCTTACCCAGAGCTCGCCCTACCTGCTTGCTGCTCCAAACATTGCAGGTGGAGACGAATGCAGCAACTGAATTTAAACCCAGTGGCCCATGTACAAAAGGGTTCATTTCCATTCAGAAAATGCATCCTCACCTTTGCCCGGGACTGGCTTGAGATGCATTCACAGCACACAACACTTAACCACCTATGCAGCTGAACTGCTGAGCCCTAGCAAGATGCTTAGTGGGCTGTCCCTTCTCTATGAACAAAGTGTTTATTGGAAGAAATTAGTATAGGGCAAATCCTGAGAGCTTCTGAAAACCCTTAAATGCATGGGAGTTGATGCCTTCTGCTTCCGAGGACATGCTGAGCCCCTTGGAGGACCTGCCCTAAAAGGCACGGTTGAAATAAAATCACCATAACCAACATATACATTCTCTATGGGGCCTGATGTTGTGCATCTCGAGCACTCAGGACCCACAGGGCACCCGGTGCATTAGTGGTGCCGGATCAGGCCCCTAGTGGGTACACGGGTTGGAGTCCCGCAGCTCCAGGCGACTTACCGGAGGGCCATCTGCACCAGGCATGCCAGGAAGACCAGGTTTACCCAGGGGACCCTAAAAAGATACCAAACGAACAACAGTCAGAATCCCTGAGGCACCAAGCAGGCTCCTGAAAGCGTTCAACTTTGTCCCGTAGAGAACAAGGGGCAATGTGTTCGAGGTGCAGCTCTTCCCCCGTGTGCCCTGGGTCCAGCACATGTTGGGGCACATGCAAGCTCCTCTGTTTAAACAGGAGCAACGGTTTACGGGGAGCATGACCACCACCCTTAGCAGAGCCCACTGGACTATGGTATGCAACCTCAGAAAGAGATGACAGTTTCTTATAGTTTCATAGTTTCTAGGGTCGGAAGGGACTTGAGATCATCTAATCCGACCCCCTGCCATGGCAGGAAAGAGTACTGGGGTCAAACAACCCCAGCAAGGTGCACATTATAAATGAGGCCTCAGCTTGATGAGGAGGAAAACACTATAGAAATGCACTAATTTAGGCCGTGAGCTTTCCACAAGGGTAAGGATTTGTGCAAATACAAGGGGAACCCTGGCATCTTTCAATGGGTTGCTGCGGTAGGACCACTGAGAGTGTGGAGAGGACCCATTGCATTTCGCAATGGGCTGCTATTTTGTGATGGGATTTGATGCAGCTTGTGCTTCTCAGACACCGCAGTAATGGGTGCTATGACAGAACAGGTAGGGTCCGATCCTGCCCTGCCCTCAGGCTTGCAATCCCCTTTACATCAGCTGCTACCAGCTGCTCCATTCTGGCCGGGCAGAGTTTTGCACATCTTCCAGGCCCGTGTAAGCAATGGCACAAATTGAGGGTGCAGAAGAACTGGACACACAGAGCATAAAACGTCACAGGAGATAAATATCATCCCATTTATCACAAAGGCTTAACTGGAAAACTATAAATGAGTGGGGCTGCCTGCCCTGTCTCGTTGTAATGGTTCAATTACTTTCCTTTAACAAGACAGATCCTGATCCTTTGACTGGAGCCAAGAGAATCTGTACTCACCTGAGCGTGTGACTCAGAAATTCAATCAGGAACACTTTTTTTTGCTTTGAAATTGTGAATGGGCTCTATTGGATAGTCTCCGATAAATAATCTCATCTTATTATACCGCGCCAGCACAATGAAGGTAATTCTCATGCTAGTCTATCTGATACACCCCAATTAAGTCAATGGGAGGCATACAAAAATACTCAGAGGAGTGAATTACAGCCCAGTCATTTCAGCAGGCAAACATTGTCCTCATTTAAACCTCAAAGTCGACATTGTGGGAGGGGTATAACTCAGGACAGAATTTGTTTGGCAAAGACAGTGTGCTATGCAAAAAATGGAAAAGCAGTGCAACTTGGCACATGTCAGGGTCCTGGTTTATAATGATCTCTATCCCCAAGATCGTACCGTTATTGTCCACGGATAGACATTTGCATATTCCGCCTACAGAAGTAGTTCGTTTCAAGTTATCTTATAACATTTTACCGAGGGCTGTCTTCAAAATGTTTCTCTTACGATGGGACGTGCATACAAATATTATGAGTTACAGACACACCGTGTTTTTCTTGTCTCTGCCCTGCCCAGAGTGGGAGACATTAAACTTTCATGTACACGGCTGCAAACAGATGTTACATATGGGGCAATGGAGTATCTGAAGAAGCAGATGCATAGCAATGGCAACAGTTGTCGTATGTGGCAGCTGCAGCCTATTAACGTACTTTATCTCCTGGTGGACCAATTGGACCCTGTGGACCTGGAAGACCCTGAGAAAAGAAGGAAGGTAGGGGTGGTTAGGAACAAATCATTCTTTCCAAACAGACTTGGCAGTGCCCCAGCAAAGCAGCATTCAAACACTTGCAACGACTGGGGATTTCACAAACTCCATTAGCGATCCAAATCTATTGCAAGAAATAAGTGTACACTTCTAAAGAGCATAATTGTTCTGTAGAAATTGCAAAATATATAGATATCTTTTTTGTTTTCGTTTGGTTTGGTTTGGTTTGGTTTGGTTTTTTTGCAGTTTCTCAGTTGGTCTCATCTCCGAACCAAGCGTTCTAGATGTTTGCATGCTTTTTTGTCTCAGACCAACACGGCACCCAAACACATCCCTAATTCTTCTGTGGAACTCAAAATGCTTTACAAAGGAAGCCTGGTATTATCTTACAATGGGGAAACTGAGGCATGTAATAAGGACATTGACTTCCCATGGTCCCACACAAGTGTAATGACAGAGCTGAGAAGCTGCCCCTGGACTCCTGACTTGCCATCCAGCCCCCTGGACATCAAAGATTCACAGTGAGATCTGGACCTGTTCACGGGATGGTCAGATCTAGGGATTTGCTCTGCTCTGGTCTACCAGCTGGAGCCAACAGCAAAAGAAAGACCCAAAACTAGTCTCAAGTTTCATCCCCTAAACTCAAAGGGATTTAGACCTAGAGCACAGGATTAGGTCCATTTCTAATGCAACTGTACCATTAGCCATTCATTATGTGCTATCCAAGCCATTCTTCAAGCCAAGATTTACTACAATGGGCAAATGATGCATTGATTCTTTTCCAACCAGTTCCTTTCGGTCGTCTTACCTGAGCACCTGGATTACCCTGCTGTCCCGGCGGTCCTGGTTCACCTTGAGGTCCCTGTCAGAAAGCAAAGCGGGGGCTCAGCGCACTCAACACTATAATGTTATGGCCAAAAGTTACGTATGCAGCGAAATACACCAAGAGAGGCAATGAATCCTCAGGAGTCAGGGTGTAAACAGACTACTGCAGGAGTCGGGAAGGACTTGTTCCCTCTCCACCTCCCATCGCACAGTTTGGGTGGGTGGTGATCGCATCCCTCCAGCGCTCCGTTAGCGGCCGCTGCCAGAAGTAGACAACACCAGTTCCCACATGCTATTGAGATCAGGTTTTTGCCAAAGAGAACAACTTTCTGGCTTCATTTGTGTGCTTTAGTTATGGAGGGTGGAGTTATTTTGATTAAAGCAATAGCTATAAAATATTTTGTGCGTACCCATGCTCACATATTATACACAAGCAAATACACATAACACTTCATGCAGGGATTCTGAAGTGCTTGAAAATGCAAATCATTATGCATCGCAGCTCTGTGCCAAGTCACATATTATTTTACTCATTGTAGATGTGACCAGAGAGTCAAGTGACGTGAACAAGGTTATGCAGGACACGCCTTTGGTAAAGCAGCAACAAAACCCAGGCGTTCTGGTTCCCAGTACCCTAGAACCACACAATACTTCCCCATACAGACAGAAAGAGCAAACTTTTAAAATGAGGCATTACTGATGGGAGAGTTTTACCCCTGCACAAAGGACCAGGAAAAAAAACCCAACATATGGACCAATTAAGTCCTGCTTGGGCCAATGTTTGAGGCACTGACATCATCCAGGCTTCATACTGGCTCTTCTAAAAAGGCGAATTTCAGTTTGATGCAGTCCCAAGCATTATACATACAAGACTTTTTGTCTTGGTTTAATGATTATATTTTGGAATTCATTATGACAACATAAATCATGATGAAAATGTTTGATCTTTGTGGGATTGTAATGTGTAATTCCATTGCAAATTATAATAAATTAGCATCCATTTACTGCAGAAAGATATCCTCCCTGGCTTTTACTGGCTTTGAAATGAGTCTAGACTAAAAAGCAATTAGCAAATCTAATTTAAAAAAGAATACATGCACACTCACACACATATTTATGTGTGTGTGTGTCTGTGAGTGTGTGTGTGTGCCTATTTCAAGACAGAGTTAATGGTGAAAACTTACCACATTTCCCTTCGGGCCTGTTTGTCCATCCATACCAGCCACACCCTGAGTAAGAATTTAAAAAAAATATATATAAATATATATATATATATATATATATATATATATATATATATAAAAATCTAACAGCATTAAGTCAAGAAAACATCTGGTTGTTTTGAGCCAAGAAAGCAGAAAGCTGCAACAACAACAAAAAAAGAAATACTGAGGCCCCTTGGACGGACAAGAACAGCTGTAAAGAAACAAATAGTTTTCGAAAGATACCTGGCAAAGCGACTCACTCAAGAATTCATGCAAGTTTGCATACTTAGGAAAGTCATTTCAACATTTTCCCTGTAGGTTTGATGCCCCTGCAGCGACCCCTGTACTATAAGAAGGACAGGAAAGAGACTCATAGCATCAAAAAGAAAAGTATCACCAAACCAAAAGAACTGTATGGAACCGTTCAAGAGAGTGGGTCAAGTCACCAGAGCTATGTTGTCCTACTGCACATGAGGATTTAATCCAGCATATTTCGGATAGCGTGGCTGATAAAATATAAAGACTGATAAGCTGGCTGAGATGGTCATAAAAATGCTACGACCTCTTCTAGAATGGACACTCTTACATATGCAATGCAATGCAATGGGATTTATACATGGAGACCAGGAAAAACTTTGGGTTTGCACATTCACTGAGTATCGACCATGGTATCATGGAGCACGGATGACTAGGAACCTCCAGCGGAGAGTCCAGAATTGTTCAGGGGGCTTCTTTGCACAGCATAAGCTATTTGGCTTTATCGTGCACTTTTGCCAGCCAAGCCAACTGAAGGCCAGATCCTCAGCTCCTGCCACATGTCCCAACAGGACTAAGCTGGGAACTGATGGCTTCTGAACTCACTCAGGGCATCTTGCTCACTTCAGTGTTTGGTCCAGATAAGGATGAGCAAGAGCCTCCTGCGGTCAGTAGCTAACTGTAGGACCTCGGCTGAACTAGCTGGGCTGAGTGGAGACAGCAGGGATGTGGAGCATGCTGTGCGACTTACCGGTGGCCCTGGAGGACCTGGTGGCCCTTTTGGTCCCAGCAAACCTCGGGGTCCCTGCAAAAGGAAATGCACATGCATATGAGGGGTCTCTTTCCAAGTCCTACTGAAATCAGTGGAATGAGTCCTGTTGACTTTATTCAGCCAAAGAGAGTCAGAAACAAACAGCCCAGTCAACCCCCCTGGCACGTTCCCTAGGGTCTGTAGGGTGCTGAGTGCTCATTTCTCCCCAGAAGATGAATATCTTGCATTCAAGACCTTGTCTTACTCTACCGCAACTATGCAACCGGTCCAATAAAAGAGACCACCCTATGATATCCTTGCCTCTTGCATAATTCCTGGACCGCCATGGCTACAGCATCAATCTAACGTGACCCTTTTTCCCATTGAAATCCTGAGCTCTGATGCTGCCGATCACTTGTCAGCTCTGCAACGTGTGCTCTCAGTCTTATTTTAGAATTGGATGTCACTGTAAATAAAAGTGTGAGTGCGAGTACAAGTGCGAGTGTGAGCAAGAGAGCGGCAGGCAGGCACGTGTGTGTGGATGATATTTTACATGAATAACAGAGGAAGACACAGCAGCAAATGTCACTTCAGCAAGTTTTGAGTGTTCAGTCCTGTATTTAACAAGCAAAGATCGGGAGGTATTTTCAGCGCCTTTGAGTGACTTAAGAACATTGATCCAATCAGCCCCTGCTTTTAATTACTTCGACACTTTTGATAAGCCTACCCTGAAAGTGCAGCGCCTTCTCTGAGCCCTCAGACAGACTCTCAGGTGAAAAGAAATGGCATGCAAGCTCCTGGACAGCCAGCATTTGAACCCGAGGCCCTCTGTTAGGTTAGGTATGGACAGCGCTCTCTTGCTATTTACAGGAGCAATGCTCATTCATTGCCACGGAGGAAAACTGTGCTTGACTGATGGGCACTTTGCCTGCCTCTCCAAATATTGCATATTGCTTTTGATAGTAGGGACAGCACAGAAGAGTTAAAATAAAAAGGTTACAAGATAAAATATGACAGCTTTTAAAAATAAAAGAGAGTCGGAGTCTGCAATGACTTCACTGGCCTGATCCTGGAAAGACTCAGGCTCAGCAACATCAGGACTGCAGTCATTTAAATGACTGCTGCGAGTTGGCCCAGGCTACTCAAACCAGCAAGGTTACCCACTTGCTTAAGCCTCTGCATACTGGGTCCCACAACAGCAACTCCCTAAGCTACATCCTTGTCTGAACTGTCTAGTGACAGCTGAACGACACCAAATTTTAAGCTTAAACCATCACAAGCCGTACACCTCACCCCTTTTATTTGCTATTCACTTTCAGGAAAGTGGGTTCTGGCTACAGGAAGCAGAAAATGTCCATGGAAATTACAGGCAGTACATTCACGGCCCCAAAGGTTTTTTGTATTATAATTTGAATCTCTTCCCTTGCTCTACATTTGCTCTTTTTCCCCCCTACTGCTAGTTTACGTCCACATGCACTTTGTCACCTAAACTTCTCTTTCCTGCCTGTACCACCTGAGCACATAAATGTTTTTAAGAAGTTAATAACCCAGAAGTTATTGCTTAGACACATGTTAAAGAGATAGCGGGGTTGATGAATCTTTTGCAGAAGTTAATCAGACGCCCCATCTATAATTTAGTTCCAATGACTCTGTAAATGCCAACCCTTTCCTCGCTTATATGAAGCTGTAAGCCAGCATTTCTCATCTATTACTCTCCTACCACCAGACTCGTATTTATAACAAAAAACAAGGCCTTTTTAAAGCAAGGCTGACAGTGGAGGGTAGGTAATTAATTTCCTTTTTATTACTAGGAAAATGTTTTGGACGCGGTAATCAGCTGGTTTTAATGAAGCGACAATTCTGCTCCACAGGGACATCTCTGGATAGTCAGAAAAGTAGCTTTTATTGTAACAAGTCAAGTCAGGGATAAATGGGTTTGGAAGCCATGGTGCTCTAAAAAGTCTCAAGCTGGCAACACCGTTGTGTCAGAAATTAATTCTGCTTCTCGAACGTGGTGAATCCTGTCAAACCCTAGAAGCCTTTATTTGAACTTTCTAGCTAAAGTTGCTTCAGTTGCATTTGCAACTCTTTGATCCTCATCTCTGGGAGGAAATGCGCCCCCCTCCGCTGAACCTAATTCAGCTGCTTCACAATTAGCAGCAAGGGCCCCGATCCTGAACAGGTCTGCAGATGCACTTCACTCGATACACGGTGGGAAGAAATACTGGCCCCAATGGTAAAACGCGTACTAGTTTCAAGAGGCCACTGTGAGCTCAATGGGACTGTTCATAGGGCATCAAAATGAGCATGTATTTAAAGTTATTGCAGGCTATGGGGTTTTAAGCAGAGGTGGGTTGCCAGGTGCCACTAGCATTGCCGGTGCTACAGAAACTGGATCTTTCCTGGATAGTATCAGAGGTTATAACAGTAGCCTGCTTATATCTAGAGTCAGGACAGCACAGATAAACCCCCAATATTGCCACAAATATTTGTGTAACCAAGCTTTGCCAGGACACACGCGCCTGCAAAAAAATCAAGGCTAAGCTTGTGCATATTCAGGAAAGCCAAAATATCACACACGCTTTCCAGGAGTGATTTAAACTGCAAGCTGCCTACGAAAGCACTGCTCACTTCATCATGTGACTCAGGCAACCAATCACTGCCAAGCAGTGTGCTTCAAATTCTGAATTTTAAATTTCCAAGTCATGGCGACTGAACAAACAAAGAAACAAACAAAAAATCAACGAGAAGTTTTGTGTTTTAAAACATAAATTAGTTTTGTGGAAGTTTGAAAACATAAATTAACTGGAGGGCACGTTGCTCTGCTTAAAGCCATCTCATATATCAAAAGACAGACAGCAGCTGTCAAATCAGTTATAGGCTACAAGTTGTTCACTTGGAAGTGATAAGAGGCTAGTATCTCTTTGCCGCCTTGAAGATTTTATCTGGATGCACTGCCTCGCACTGTGGGGTTGCTGGTGATTATCTCTACTGCAAAGACAGTGTTAGGTACTGGGACTGCAAACTCGAGAATCACCGATGTCCTGCAAAGCAAGACACCCACGTGCTGAAAGCAAGAAGAAAGTACTTACAGGTTCTCCAGGTAGACCTCTGGGCCCAACTTCTCCATCATCACCCTATGTGGCAGTAGAGGAGACAAATGAGAGGGAGAGAGTCAATCAGTTAAATTTCAGTCACATTCAAGGTATCTCGTCCTTATTAAATAATAATCGAACAGAAAACCAGCTTCCCTGGAGTAATAAAAGGGTATCCGTGCATAAGGAAGACCTCATAAGCCTCGATGCTAATACTGCGTGCGGAGTATTACCGGAGATTACAAATGCTGTAAGGATGCTTCATAATTCATGTCAGTGTTTATATAGATGGATGTTGTTAACACACCGGCTATTGTAGGAACAATTCGAGGCATATAAGTCAATGAGCAGCAGATTTAGTAACTAACTGAATGGAGACGCCAATATAGAAAAGCCAGCGTGGGAATTCAGCTTAGCTGAATTAAACTGTTAGCCCTCTGGATTGATTAGCAGAGCTAAAAATGGGGGGAGACTCTTAGATCATCTACTCCATCTCCTGTCAAAGCACCACCGATCCCTGCAGGATATTCTTCATTTCTTTGTCCCTGCACTTCTAAATTACACAGAGCAGGGGTTGGGCACCAATCCATGGGGAGGCTATGCCAGTCTGACACATCTCACCATTAGGAAATCAATTCTGACATGTTAAAAGAGCAGGATATAAAGACACGCAATTAAACTTGCTACTCTTTGCTTTGCCCTTTGGATGCCTTTCCCCCACTCCCTTAAAAAAACTCTTCTTGCCTCTTTGCATTCAAGACCTTCATTTCATGAGGGCGGGGGTATTACCCTGTTTGACAGAGGGAAATAAATAAATACATAACTGATCCCAAGCTAAAGAGAGAGATGTGATTAGAGCCCAGGGAGATCCTTCCTTACTCCTGGGGCTGTGATCACACCACTTAACTACACATTTCTCAGAGCTTTTCTCTCAATGGCTTCCACTAATTAAATGCAACAGTATTAAGCAGAAACAGAATTAAACCTTTTAATCTTTGATTCCCAAGGAAGTTGGGAACTCCCATCCCTAAGCCTTGCGGCACTGGACTGGAACATATTGAAGAGACGTGTAAAATAGGAAGCACGTTTTATTTGGAAAGGAAATTCAACCCCCTTTTTTTTCCCCCTCTCTTAAATTTCTTTGCAAAACAATTAATAAACTGTCCCCGTTTTCCAAGAGGAAAAAAAAAAACAACTTTCAGAAGACTTTGCCCCCTTATATTTTTCTCCCTTCCCATCCCCTTCTCTTTTTTCCTCCCTTTATACCTTTTTCTCTCCCCCCTCCCCCACCTTCCCCATTTCGGGCTGCAAAATGGAGTGCAGAAGAAAACAGGAAAGACATTAGAGGAAAATTCAAAATCTGTTAGTTTTCATTTGGGGCCAAAAAAGGGGAAATTTTGAAAAATCCAAATCTTGGCCATGTATAAAAGGGAAGCCAGTTAAAGCCAAAACAAAGGGGTCATATGAGCCCAGTCTTCATTCCTGCCCAGGGCAGGGAGTCGGACTTGATGATCTGCTCAGGTCCCCTCCGACCCTATATCTATGAATCCATGAAAGCCTAAGGTGGAAAATTAAACCCTGCATTTTACCTTTCCAGAGAGCCCCTTCAAGGGGCAATATTCAGTACCTGGTGGCACTTCCCAAGTATAGCATGGACACAACAGCAAACACAGTCGGGGCCAGTGCAACACATGCTGAGTCACAACCACGTGTCCGGTGGCCGCTCTTCTTCTCCAAGACCCCAAGATGAACTGCTATCAGTTCAGACAATCAGTGTTTTGCATTAGGTCCTATGCCAGGGCTTGCTTGCTGTTTTCATTACACATCTGTCTGATGTTGCATCTGCTTCTTGTTTACAAGGCTTAATTCTTAATTCAAAGGAGCGCTGTGCTCAGAGATAAAACTTACCCTCTCCCCATCCTCTCCGGGTGCTCCAGGGGGGCCGGATGGACCTGGCTCACCCTAGAAAAGAAAGGACAGAATCAACCACCTTGAGGATGTCTCAGAGAAGACAGACGGATTTCATTTTCCCTTACAGTGATGTATAGCAGCTGTACGGCATAGGAATAAACTCTGCTTCATTGTTCCTCAACCTGCCTAAGCCCAGAGGTACTCAGCTTCCCGCCCTCCCCCCTCCAGCAATCTCCTAGTATCCTTTAAAAAAGTTAAACAGTCGTCAAAGGGTCATGAAGGACCATCTTGTATGATGGTCCATCCGCTGTAGTGGCATCCCCAACCCATGTGCAGTCCCTTCCACATCTGACTCATGACAAGGCATGTCCTGACTGCCTTCCCCTCGCACACTTCTTGCTGCAAGAGATGCCCTCCCTCTTTACACCCTGGCTCAGGAATCGGTGTAGGGAGGAGGCCACAGATCATGGGGCTCCACAAATTTGGACAAGGGGAAATGTGTGGCTGCAGGAGTGTCATCATAGCCTATGCTAAGCTCACTGCCACTGTTAGCATGAATTAACATGGGGCATATTGTAGGACGACTGCTGGGCACTCATGAGATGCAATGCAATTAGTATCATCGGAGGCTCCTGTTTAATTGTTAGCATCTCCTCTACGGAATAACGGGCCACAGGATCTGTCTGTCGGGACTATCGCAACCCATCAAAGACTTGCTTGGGGCATGTCATTCTGGGTATGGAAGCCAAGCACCGTCTCTACCATGCACGCTGCGTTGACTTTGAGGACAAGGGCTCAGCTTTGGACACAGCTGTTACTGCTACGCAAAACGCACCGCAGCATTTCTGAATGTGTTAAACGTCTCCATTACGCTCTACCTTTCTGTCCCAAAATGGCCTGGTAATCACTGTGTAATCTGCTTGACTCTTAAAACATTCCCCCTGGCTTTATAAAATAATGACTACATTCTTCGGGGTGTTCTTGCCCTGCCAAAATAGCTGGTCTTTTGCAATTTTTCCCATTCTTTAATTACAAAGCAAAGAGAAGGAACCCATTTTTTTTGGCTGGGTTTCTATCAACAATGGCACCATCTAAAAGTGGGTTTTGTTTCTTGCTTTTGTGTGTGTGTGTTTAAATCTGAGTTCTTGTAGTCCTTCCAGAGACTTTTTTCCTTCCCTCTCCCATGTGATTCTGCAAGGGTTTTTTGACTTCTCAACATGTGAAAGCTATGGTTAGACAAGATTTTATGACACATCCTACACACTTTTATAGGCTCTGTCATTCTCTTGCAATCGCCCTTCTGGAGGCTAATTGCAGTCTGTTCAACTCCCATCACCACTCAAAAAAACCCTCCTTACTACCCCCTGCATTTTAGCATTGCACAGCCATGAGTTTTAAATATAATAAGTACAACACAACAGAAACTAAAACTTACTCTGTTTCCCTTCTCACCAGGCAAACCAGCTAATCCGTCAAAACCACGGTCACCCTGAAAAGAAAAGAGAAGTTTAGTGTTAAACAGGGATTGGTACTCCTCCTCCCTCTGTGCCCCCCTCCAGGTCTCCCCAAAGAAACCAAGCTTTGCCTTCCTTTCCAAATACCGAAGATTTTAGTATTACAGATGAAACAGCTCAATTAGCCCATGTTACCCACGTGATTCAAATCACCAAGGATTTTGCCAGACCAACTTCAGGTTTCTCAAACAATATTCCACCACTTCCCCCCGGAGAGATTTCCACTGCTTCACGCAACTCCCTTCACAGAAGCAGTTATGATATTTGGTCTCCTCGGTCTATATTTTTAACTCTCTTCATTTCACGCCATTGTGAATCATAGCCCCCTGGTAGCAACCAAAATACCAAACATTCCCGTGCCTGTCAACACCTTTTAAATTAATTCCACCCCAAAGTCCTCTAATAATACATCCCGTCTTTCTGCCCAGAGCTTTCCCCGCTTAGCCCTTCTAGAGATACTCAAGGTAGGGGAGGAGAATAAAGCCACCCGATGCCCGAGTTAATAAAAACAGGATCAGGGAAGAGAAGTTTGCTGACCCAAGAAAGAAGATTGCTAAATGTGAAATGTGGTTGCCTTCACTTTGGAGCTGCAGAGGACATTCCCTTCAGTGAAGTGACTGACAACTAGTCTCAAGTCAGGGTTAAATAGAAGGAAAATGGACATCACAGACATGTCCCTGTTTCATTCCTGGGTAGCCTTTGTCCTTCGGAGGTGCAGCACGCTAAGCTGCTCAGCACACATAGAGCCTGGTGGAGGCCAGCCCGAGGCAGCAGATATCGACTGATATTTTAACTGATGCTGAGAAGTCATGTATGGGAATAAAGCAGGGCTTGGCACCGCTAAGCTAAAAGAAAGAACAACTCTCTTGGATCAATCCAGTCCTTAGTAATCAATGGGTAATCAGAGTGCACCGTGCACCCAGGATCAGGCCCCTGATTCGTACCCAGTTTGACCAAGAAAGAAGACGATGCTGTCAGGTGGCCAGGGTTGAGTCCCAATGCTACCACAAAGCTAACTGATTGGCCTTGGACAAGTCATTGCAGATTAAAAATGTGAAGAATTAAAACAAAAACAAAGGGAAAAAGTCAAGTGCGTTGGGGTACTTCCACCCCAGGACGCCTGCTTCGGCAACGCCACCCACGCGACCGGGGAAAACTGCTATTGCAATGCGAGGGATGAAATTGCTTGCCCAAGGTCACACAGTAAAATAATGGCTGAGAATCCAGGAGCCCTTTCTCCCATTCTTTTCTGCTAACTTTTAAATAAACCCTCCCTCAAATACAGCGCATCGTAACATGGCAAGATGCATGGCCCCAGCCTCGCGACATTGCAATCAGGGAAAGTCTGCAATGCCGGAGCCAACTGAAGAATAAAACCGCTCACTAAGAGAGCAAACAAGATGAGTGATGGCTATTTTTATCGAGCTCCAGAGCATCCCTCTAAGTCCTTGCATGATGGAATTAGTCGCCATCTCTGCTGCTATTTGTTACTCTCCATTCCCGTTTTCTTGGCATCCACTCCTTCAAAGGGAGTAGATACTCGTTAAAGCACTTGACTGGAGAAATGCTTTGCAGTCTCCTTTCAACCCTCCCCCCATTCCCACATCTACTCCAGTGTCAAGTATTTACATAAGAAAGTACTTAAACCTTTCAATAGAGGAATTCCTGAGCAAGCTCTCTCTGCATTCACTTGTGGATGTAAACAGCTCCTTTCTTGGCTGATAATAGCACAAGATCCCGGGGAACTAAAGAATTGCATCTCTGCCATCAATACATGGCATTACAATTCCAGGACACACCATCTGCGTTTCCTTTCCTGGTTAATGGGTATTTTTTCTGGAGTTATTATTTCATGACATTTTCAACTGTTCATTCATGTTTGCTTTTCATAATTGGGATTCCAAAGCATTTGCTCTTTAACCATGCGCACAGAGGGAACAGATTTCTTACTCATGGGGTTCCTCTGGTTAAACAATTTTATGGAGGAGAGAGATTATTATCGGCTATTTTGCATTCAGGCCCAGGTGTCTGATTCCCGCCTCTGTTGTGCTGAACCCCCGACCGAAGCAGATACTGCTGGATCACTCCCATCCTAGTGGACTGGATTCACTTGGCTGGGGTCCACTCTGTTGCTCTATGTAAAAGCAGCTGTGAACACAAAGAGCATATAAATATGTAACGCTACCTTTGGTCCTGTCTGCCCTGGCATCCCGCGAGCGCCATCACTGCCAGCACGTCCCTGAAACAGAGAAGAGAAAGACAAGAACAAAAGCTAAGCAAGACCACAGAGACATCTGCTCTTTGGTTTGCGGCAGACTGAAGGTTTATTTAAGTCCGAGCCTCCTTGCTGTGGGATAAGGGATAAAAATGATAGCGTGTTTTTGAGGTAGTTGCATGCCTGCTTTTGCCCAGCTCACAAATCAGGGTCTTCAAGTAAAATGGTAGGGGACTGCTTCAAACGTGAGATGCCAGGACCAGGTCACTGATTTGAGAGAGGAAACGTGAATAAAACATCATTCAATACATGTCAAGCTATATAAGTGATGGTGCACATGGAGTGCAATGAGACGGTGGTGATTAACAACCCCAAAGTTGGTCACACAAGGTCGTTTTTTAATTCTTCCTATAGCAAGAAGCAGCAATGCCTCGGGGAAGCTGAAACCCTTAATGTGACCAGGTGGCAATGCCGGTTCACTGCATCAATAGGCTGTAGGCCATCTCCGAGATGAACCCAGTGGGTCTCAACCTCCTCTCAAGGCAGAGAAGCAGGATCGACCAGTCAGTGGAACTGGACCTAAAGTGCTGTGATAGGATTGAGCATTAAGCCAAGGAGAAGGGAGGGAGAACCTGGTTTGGCTGACTAAAGCAAAGGAAAAAAAAGGGAAATCAGAGCTTATGGAGGCCTCTTCTCTCCATCCCTCCTCTTCTACCGCCAGCTCTTCAGACTGCACCATTATGTGCACATGCCAGATGCAGAAGCCGCGGTGGAGACTGACTCCAGGGCCAGGTGCTCGACACCTCCGGGGAGCACGTGTTCAGAGGTGCGTATCAGGCATATACGAACATCAAAGATGCCAAGCGCACTTACCCTGCGGCCTGGTTTTCCTGAGGGGCCTGGTGGTCCTTGGATGCCACGGGGACCCTGCGAAAGGATGAAAAGATTAAAAAAAACAGTAGCACCTGATGACAGGCACTGCATCCACCCAACTTCTGCGTGTGTTCAAATGAAAGCTGCAGCCATGGGAAGAGCTCCTTGCTTGTTCCCCACAACATGCTTTGCAGACCAATCTTTGCATCTTTGCTCGGGCTTCTCATGGAAGGGAATGGGTGTTGGCTGAGTGTTGCTAAGACCTAAAGGGTCTTCAGGATGGAAGTACTAGCTATCTCAAAAAGGTACTGCCTCCCAGAGCACTCATCTACCTTGTGCTTAGGTGTCTGCCCACACTGGGATGTGCTGCTGGCCGTGGAATTGCTACTGGAGATGATGAGGTTTAAAGGTACTCATAAGTAGACCAAGGTGTGAAGATGTATGACTCTCATCCTGGTAACCCACCCTGGAATCTACAGCATTGGGAGTGGAAGAAAAATTCCTATTGCACTGAACAGCAGTTTGGCTCGAGTTAAGACTAAGCAGTAAATCAAAGGCTTTCAGGACTTGTCCACAAAAGTCTTTGCTGGAAATCAGCACTGCCTGTCCCTTGATGTGTCAGCCTGGATAGTTCTCGTTAACAAGATGCCTCAATTCTGCATTCAGATACTTGAATGCACCCAATGGAGAAGGGATATTTCAGCACCTTCCCAAGTTTGCTTGCCCTTTAGAAACTCCCACCTCCAGAACACTTACTAGAAAAGAGACATAATCCCACACTTAGCAGCTGTAGACACCATATCATTACCACTCCCTGAAGACATTAAGTGATGTTTTCATACATACCTGAGGTCCCATATCACCAGATTCCCCCTTTATTCCTCCACTCCCTGGGGGTCCCTGTGAGGGGTATAATGAAGTTAATTAGACTGCGTCACTGTGAAGACACACGGAAGACATGGGCTGTCAAAAAAAAAAGGGCTTGCTAAATTAGGCACCTCAAGAATTGGCTGGGAATCCACAGCACCCAATGCAGCAGATGCTCTGGCAACCAAAGCTTGGATACCAAACAACCCTTTCCTATTTGTACTTTAGACTGTTTTGTGCATTGCTTCTGTTTGCCGCAAGGCTTAAATCACAGACGGTAATGATGACGTGGGCCGGCATGGGAGAACACGCAGAAGCTACAACTGTCTGTATGTATTCTGCGTGTGCAAATCCCAGCATCAGTGCACACGGCAGCAGGCAGGTGTTAGCGTGCAGAAGGGAGGTGCACATGTGAAGACCCTTCTGACTACCAGGACATTAATAGATGCCGGGGCCCAATTTAGAGGCAACTTCCAAATGTCAGTTTTGCCTCTAGCATGAGGCCATTTACTTACCATAGGGCCTGGCCTTCCAGTAAGACCCATTGGGCCTGCAGGTCCTCTTAGAGCCAGCTGCAACAGAAAATGAAAATCAAATGATTTTGCTGCTCTTTGTATCCCATCGGTGGACTCAGACAAAGCCACCGTGAATCGCACCTTACACAGGCGAGAGGGGCTCTAATACTGGAAGCAGAAATTATCCTCCTGTATATGCCAAGTGGGCAAAATACATGACTTAAGAGATACTGGTGCTATATCCTTGAAGACAGGGAGCCTTGGCACAGAAGGGGCCTATTCCTGTTCAAAGGCCAAACTCACTCCTGGGGCAGTGTCTTTAATTTCTGTGAAGTTATACAAGCAATGAAGATTGCTTAGACCGTATGATATATATCAAGTGTTATATTATATAAAGTATATACATTATACAGTCTCCCTTCCAGGAAGGATGTGCCAGTGAGCCTGATCCCTGGCTGCTTTTAATTCACCTATGGGATAATTAGCCACTACAATTTAATTTGCCATTGGCTTGAGTCTCCAACAGCATCCACACCGTCGTTATATTAGCGTACCTCCACTGAAGAGAATATACAGTCTCCAGGATATACACGGTATTGCTATGTATGCAGGTCCATTTTTCAAGATGCTGCCCATTTCCTCTATTATATATGGTGCAAGGGCTACATTTATGTAGATAATGGAAAGTAGCTCAGTAAATTAATTAATAAATAGGTATATAAAACAGGCCAAATCCTTAGCTGATGTTTGAAGTTGATGAAGTTATGCTGTTTTTCCATCAGCAGAAGATCTGGCTCTGTCTGAGCCTCCTCTCGCTCTTAAATAACTTGAGTAAGACAGATGCTAATAAGGCTCTTTGTGCTATACAACTGAAATTAAACTGTGCCTATACGTGCATAGATTAAAGGAGATTTTCCCCCTTTACTTTCATTATCCATAACCTGACAGTTCAATTTAGGGCAATATGATTTTTTTGCTATTCCTAGACATGGAACATCAATTCAACTCCAGTGGGCCTTTTTTAGCACAATAATTAAAAAGTTATGTAGCCGGCATCAAGTCAATAATTTTGATGGCGGGTAATGGGCCTGCCCATACTTTATAACATCACTTGGACAATTTGTTCCATTGCCACAATTCAATACTTTAAAAGACTTGTAATTATCTGTGTGCTCCAGTAATTAAAATCTACTCGTGATTGCACTTGGAATGGCATAAATATTGCACAAATGCTACTTTTGGCATCTTTTTAGTATTCCCCATTTAAAAGTAGCTGCTGAAAAATACTGCCTGCTGGGACCATGTTTGGTCTTTACTGAAAATCAAATTTCTGGGGAATATATCAATTTAATAACGCAATTAACTAAAATTAAAAGAAAGAAAATCATCCTTTCCACTCCAGGATTCCTTTTCCTCTCTCCACTCAAACACACACTCTGCCTTAAGCAAGGAAAAGTCTGATTCAATCTCTCTCTCTCTCAAATGCAGTTGCTAGTGATCCCAATTTGAATTTGTAAACTGGACAGAGCTGTTCAAAAAATGGAAAAATTATATTTTTTTACCCCCAAACCTCACAGCTGATTTTTAGCTACATTTTTATATTAACCAATACATTATTTTTGGCCAAAGAACACTTATTGTTTTGATAGAGATATAGATATATTATGTGGTTGTATATATTACTTTGGTTATAATTTTGATTGGTGTTATATCTATCTATCTATCTAGGTATCTATCTCTCTATCTATTTATATACTATAGATAGAGATAGAGAGAGAGATCTATATATAGATATCTATAGATATAGTTATATCTATTTAGAGAGATATTTATATAGATCTCTATCTATCTATCTATATACTCTCTCTCTATATATATACTATACTATACTATACTATACTATACTATACTATACTATACTATACTATACTATAGATAGATATTATAGATAGATATTATAGCTAGATAGAGAAATCAAACTCTCTATATAGATAGCTATATAGATACATATATCTATTTTTTTACACACACACACACACACACACACACTCTCTCTCTCTCTCTCTCTCTCTCTCTCTCTCTCTCTCTCCCTCTCTCTCTCTCCAAATTTTCCATGCCCAGGGAAAGAAAAACAACCTAAAAGAAAAAAGAGAATAGACATTTTACATGAAAACTTGTTACTCAAAAACCCAATTTCCAGCAAAATAAGTTTTGATGGCAATTTCTAAGCAGCCCTAACGTGGGACTGATTAGGCATCGTTAGAAACACAATCCTTCAACATGACTGTCAGATGATTAAAGGGCAGAAAAATGGGGCTGTCTTCAGAACAATGGCCTTGTGCTCTGTCTGCGTGCAACTAAAATTGCACTGACTTGTAAATTTGAGGTTGGAGGGGAGCCAAAATAACCCCATCTAAGCCAAACTCCTCATTAGAAGTCACAACAGGGAAAGAGAAATGTGCCACCCTGCTAGCTCAAATTCTGATGTACCTGATTTCATTGAATCATGTAATGAGTTTCTTTCTGGCCATTACAACAACTGCGCCCAAAGGCTGCAGCTAACGGCAGCACACGCTGTTTAGCCATTCACTACACCAGGGCTGCATCTAATTTAGGTGACAAGGGCCACATTCTGACTTGGACTACATGAAGGCACAAGAGAATAAGGGCCGCTGCTTATCCCTGCGTGAACCATGCAGACTGGAGACCTGAGTTGCTGGCTGAAGTGCAAATACCCACATGAGATCCATGCAGGGGTGCAGAACAGGTCAAACCTGCGCTCCGTGCCCCATGCTCTTCGCCAGCAGCAAATGACCCACTGAATGTGTGCATGGCTGAGCAGTATTGCTCATTTGCCATTGTAATAAGTGGGCACTGATTACTACCCCACACTAGCAAGGAATAAGTACGGAAAGGGACTGGACCTCCAAGGGATGCCTCTGGCTACAGTGCCTCCCTGAGCTGTAGCTTACGCTCCCCCAGCCTTTGCTGAGGGCTGTTTCTAAAGCTCCTGTCTAGCTCAGATTTGGCAGTACTAAGTAAATAATGCAAAAATGCATTCTCCGAATGCCTTCCTTTCTGCCATAATTATGTCTACTGTGTTTTCACTGCCACAAGTGAGCAATCCTGGTTCCCTCCCCAACACACATGCTTGTGCTAAGTGAATTTCAAAATGACTCTCCCTGGAACTGAAGTTTTAATTTGAACATGTGAATAACTGGGTGTTAAGTGCTGGCATATTCACACAGTCAGGGTACAGAAACAATACAGTGGAGTGTAGGTGGCAGATAACAGATAATAACCAAAGTAGCTTGAATGACCAGCATGGACAGGGAACTTTTTGTGATGGCTCCATAGCTTCAAATACCAAAAAAAGGATAGTCATCACATACTTTCAAATAACAATGTTTGAAGGAAATTGTGACCCGTTTGCTGATTCATGGAAATGAAGAACAATTTACATGCGTGATATTTGCTGATTTATTGAGAATGACCCACTCAAAATATAACACATGCATAACAAGATTTAAAAGGGGTTTTCAACACCAGGGACCAAGCTTTCTGCTGGCATAAACAGTAATATTCCAATGAAGTCAAGAGACCTCAAACCGTTTGCAGCAGCTACAGACTTGGTTCAACCCCCACCCCACAAAAACACAAAAAAGCCCCACCCATTGCGGAGCTTGGGTTTCCAGAGATGTAAAAGTTTGGCATGTCTAGGTAATATTGAATAGTTACAGTTTGTAAAGGCAAGACTTGAGGAACACCATTGAGTGTGCTTACCCTATTCCAAAAGCACCTGAAAGATGCGTTTTCACTTACCCTGGCCTGCTGCAGTATGGCTTGTGCTTGGGCTTCCTGTGCCGAAACGAGAGGTCCTTTTGAGCCACCATCTCCTCCTCCACTAAAACGGAACTGCAAGGAACAAGGTGCAACGAACAGGTCACAAGGTCCCTGTCCCAGCTCCCTCCCTGGACTTTCCCTGGTACCTTTATTCGGCATGGCTGGATAACTCAACCCTGTCAAGAAGAGGTTTGCCACCACAGGGTATCTTCCCAAACTGGACGGAGAATGCATTCCATGATCTTTTAAGGCCTCTCTCCACCTCTGATATCTATGAAACCTGGCTCTTTGCAAGGGGAAATCCTAGGACTCTACGACTTCGATGATACTACCGCCTCATCTAGGTTGAGCATAACCCTCTTGTTCGGTTGGTACTAGCTACTAAAACCAGCTGACAAGGTGACCTCGGCACACTGAATCCAAGAACATGATTTACAGGCCTGGGGCTTGTTACTGCAGGGGCCAGCAAAGGTATTGTAATGGCCAGCTAAGCACTATAACAACATTTTGCAGCTGGTCTAAGCAGCACTGGGCCTCCTGCCAGCAGCCTACGCATGCATTACCCCACCACTTGGAACCTGTACAAGTGCACTGTGGTTTCTATGCAAGACTCCCTTCAATACCCAACTGCTTCTTTTCCAGCCATTGGATTCCTTGGGGTTTTCTCATATCAAGAGAGACACAATGCATTCAGCGCCATCCCTTTGGTGTCCTAGGACCAAGAGGGCTGATTCAGTGCATGTTAGCTTTGCATGGGGGAAAAGACCACTGCTTCCAGAGGCAACTAGTCAAAGTCGATACCTGCAATTTTGGGAACCCAAACTGACCTTTGAAACGGGTCTGATTTTCAGAGCATGGGTGCTTAGTACTGTTGGGCTCCTCTAAGGTGTCTCAAGTCAATCCTCCTCCCGTGGAAGCTGAGCACTTTTCATTCATGAATTTTAAACTTGGCTTTTACCAACCAAAGAAGTAATTTGACTGGGTGAGTGAATATAAAAATGTGGGCCTCCATTTTATAAAGAGGAAGAGAGTGATTCACGTGGGCATGTGAGCTCCCCAACAATGGACATTAGTAGTCAGGTGTAGGACCCTGAATTATTTACAGATCTCTTTGTACTCAGGCCTTTTTGGTACTTACAGGCAACATAAGCATTGTCCCCGGTGGTCCTGGTAAGCCATCTGCTCCTGGAAGACCTGGCCGGCCAGGAGGTCCCTACAGTGGGAAGAAAGTAAAGATGAATCACTATATATAGCAGGTATGTAGAAATCTAGTTATTCCCAGGGGCTGCGGTAGTTGGAAGGGCATTTGCCTCTCCTTCAACATGGACAAAGCTGATGAGTATGCCCTGAGATGCTTCCCATCTCAATGGTATTCAGATCAGACTAAAGCTGGTGGCCTGTTTAAGCAAACCATGTGGTAAAACAGCTGTAAGCACACATGGAGTTTCTTGGTAATCCCATCCTCTCACCCCTTGCCCCAGTACTTTCAAGTGTGCCATGAGCAAGAGCAATGGTATCAATATGTAGTTGGGCACATTAAACCCAATTATAAAAGTATAGGAAACCTCATAAGTCAGACCAGGAAATATGAAATGTGAGAGAATAAATACATTTCTGTGCATGTTCAATAAACTGGCTCATTTCTTTCTTTTTTATCCTACTGAAATAGTTTTGTCAAAAGTGGGGCCAAAACATCTGCTGGGGTCATTCAGAAAAGCTCCATGGATGTCATTGCAACTCTGCTGATGAGCATGAGCTGTGCATCTTGAGTTCACTCTAAGGGAACAATGATGCAGTCAAAAAACTATTGATGAATCTATAAATAATAAAATATGGCCCGTTTTCTAAAAGCAGCCTCCAGATTTTTTGCACTCACAGTTACAGGTCTGCAAAAAATGCCCAAGTTAGCCCACATTTGCACATCCATCTAGCAATACAACATGCAAATAAGGACATCATCTAACTATCGCGTATGCATGCGTAACTGCAATTTTTCACACCAGCAGGCAAAGCTATGGACATTGCAGACCCAGTCCTTTCCCATTTGAAGAGTTTTGCCATTCACTTTAAGGAGGCAGGATCAGACTCCGGCCAAATAATACTAAATTCAGGTGTGCTTTCATGTTTTCCTGCAATAACTTAGAGCAGTCCCATGTTCATTTAATTTTTTCTTTCTGTTGAAAGGAAAGTTGCATAAATTGTCCTGAGTGAGCTCTCTGGAGGTGGCCGTCTGTGCTGCATTGGCCATTTGAGGGTGATGGGGTCTCTGAGGAGGTGCAAACAACGTCCTACTGCTTTCTGCACTGGCATTTTCAGTATTTGGGATGGCATCTGCCTGGCCCTACTCCTTCATCCAGGAACCTGAACATTGGATGGAGTCTTGCCAAGTCTCATTCTCCCTTCAGCGATCTACAAAGCAGGATCGTCCTGGCTTCTGGTGCACACCCAACAATCCCAAGAAACCTCCTCCCTGTACAAAGCGGTAGCCTTGATTAGCATTACAAGACTTTGCTGTGCCTCCACTGCATTATGTGCATGCAATCAAGGGCAGCCTCTGCCCTCAAAAGGCAAGGTAAAGTGATGGTGGAGGGGTGCAGGCTGGAGAGGGACACAGGGGGCAGGAAGAAGCAGAGAAGGACACATGGGCATTTTTCAGGAACATGCAAGTTTCACCGACTTTCAAGCAGATGTAGGCATTTAAAATGGGAAAATGGGACTGAGAAGCCATGGGCACCAAGGGTGACATGTCCTTAAGTACATTAAGAAACTGGGGGGCTGTGGTGTAGACACCCACACAGTCAAATGGGTCGCCAGCTGGCTGGAGGGCCGCACCCAGAGGGTGGTAGTGGATGGGTCCTTCTCAACCTGGAGGGATGCGGGCAGTGGGGTCCCACAGGGCTCCGTCCTCGGGCCCGCGCTGTTCAACATCTTCATCAGTGATTTGGATGAGGGGGTAAAAAGCACCCTGTTCAAATTTGCTGATGACACTAAGATGTGGGGGGATGTGGGCACACTAGAAGGAAGCAACAGGCTACAATCAGACCTAGACAGGTTACAAGGGTGGGCAGATGAGAATAGGATGGGATTCAACACAGACAAGTGCAAGGTGATGCACCTGGGGAGGAACAATCGGCACCA